TTCTTTTCACCCAGTTGCAGTTGTTTCTGTGATAGCCACAAAGGACCTACTAGCCACATAATCCTCAAATGGGCAATTGGTTGGGAGATGAGTTTTTCTGACTTTAGTTTCGCCTTTGACTCGGCTTTTCCTCATTCATGTTAAGATCTTGAAGAAATCCACTTTTAGCAGGGAAAACTGGAAATTACCTAGTAGGCCCAAAGAGGGCAAGTCAACATCAGAAAGGAATGGTAGGTTTGTTTGTGGATCCCTCCTGCATGCACAGCATCTCAAATAGCTGTGAGAAGAATGGCTTTGGTAAACAGCTGAAATGGACTTGCTTACTTGGCAGCACTGTGCTTTCTACATACTCACTGCTGTTTCCATACACTCTCAGTTTCCCTCTTGTCTGCACAAGGTGTGATAGTCTGTGGTTGGTACCTGCTGATAAGGGTAATTATAGCATTAGTAGAAGTAAGAGTGCTGTCTAAGGTTGAAAAACAACTCTAATTACACCTCCATCCTTTACTCCCTCAGCACACCTTCTTTTTTCCTTTTACAGAGTTTACTCAGAGACTGAATTAAATCTGCATCTATTTAAAAACAAGCTTTTAAATAGTTGTGGGGGTAGAAAAGGAAATCTTTTAAAATTAAAACTACATACATGCTAAGTGCAAGGGAAAGGGGGAATACGGAAGGAAAAGAAGAATATAAATCCATTTATTACCTCTAAGCCATACACTGAAAAATGGCAAATATGGTAAATTATATATGTATATTTTACCTCAATAAAAATAGATAAGTAAATAAAGGTAAATACATGGTTACATTTAAATTAAGGTTAAAAAGGATAGCGTATAAGTTAGGAGGGGATAAATATATTTAATTGAAATCTAATTATTTTTTGTGGATCATGAGTTAAGGAGAGTGAGAACATCCTGGCTAACATGGTAAAACCCCATCTCTACTAAAAATACAAAAAATTAGCCAGGGATGGTGGCACATGCCTGTAGTCTCAGCTACTGGGGAGGCTGAGGCAGGAGAATCACTTGAACCTGGGAGGCAGAGGTTGCAGTGAGCTGAGATGACACCACTGCACTCCAGCCTGGACAACAGAGCAAGACCCTGTCTCCAAAAAATAAAAAATTGAGATTAAGTAAAAATGCATACATGCTGTGATGAGCATTTGACATTTGTGAGACAGCACTTGCTGAATCACCTTTCAATAGATTTACATGCATTTATGTACACATAGAATCAAAACAAATAAGAGGAATTATAAGAACAGTAATTCACAAAGAAATATGAAATCCAAATCTTATAGAATGGAGAAAAAGAAGTTTTAAATTACGTTTATACCTATTGACCAATTCAACAGAGACAGTATTTAAAACATTTAATATCCAGAAACTTAATTTGATATCCAAAATTCAAATGTGTAACTTTTATACTAATAAAACTATAAAATTAATATAAAATATCTTTATATTTAACTAAAAAACAGTTTAGATTTTAAAAATAACCTATGACCCAATCTCAGAAAAGAACAATTTCCAAGGAGTGAATATAATTAAATTCTACTTTACTATATCAGAATTTTATTAATTGAGGTGTAATTTTAGTATTGTAGATTAATGGATTATAGCAAAGCAACATGAATTCATAAAGTTTCCATTGTAAACCACGAAGCTTTAAAATAGGGGAGAGAAGACTGTTTCCTGAATTACAATAATGGAAAAAAAAGTCTTTTCAAATTAACAAGGATTGATTTGTTTGACACACCCACTATTGTGGTCCAGAACTTGAGAACATGCATTTTAAATGCCACTATTAGGACACAGAACAGCTGCCCTTTCCTTCAGCTACTGCACAGAGCAGTGCTGCTTATGCCTGTCACCAGAACAGAAGCAGATCCAAGTGGGCAGTGGCAGGGATAGCACACATTTTCTACTGCAGGCCTGCCATACTCCATAAAAACATCAGAGTTCATTTACCCCAAAGAGACAGCCAGAAATGCAACTTTTGGATTTCTAGTATTGGCATCAAAATCAAGGAGTTACCCAACCTCCAAGAAAACCCCCAGATATTTAGTGATAAGTAGGTAGGAAATCTAACTGCCAAAGTCAAATCAAGCTGACCTCCCCTACACTTCACCCACAAAAACAGCATGTCTCACGTCATGAATAAAGTACTTCAGGATACCAAGAGTATAGCAGAACTCTCCTTGCTAAAGTAAATCTTGTCTATTAATTATGATGTATGCAATGCTTTGTTGCTACTGAAAATGAAAACTAGGCCAGGTGCAGTGGCTCATGCCTGTAATCCCAGCATTTTGGGAGGCCTAGGCAGGCAGATCATGAGGTCAGGAGATCAAGACCATCCTGGTAAAATGCCATCTCTACTAAAAATAAAAAATTAGCTGGGCATGGTGGTGCATGCCTATAATCCCAGCTACTTGGGAGGCTGAGGCAGGAGAATTGCTTGAACCAGGGAGTTGGAGATTGCAGTAAGCCGAGATCAACCCACAACATTCTAGCCTGGTGATAGAGCAAGACGCTGTCTCAAAAAAGAAAAAAGAAAGAAAATGAAAACTTATAAAATCATTTCCCTTGGGGACAGAGTCATGGACTCTGTTATTCCCCGGGAATAACTTTAACTGGAAGCGATTTCAAGAATCCAACTAAAGCAGAAAAGAGGGTAACAAATGTCACATTAAAAAAAAAAACTATTTTATATTCTCAAAAGAAAGAAAATGTATGAAAGCCCTCATGTTTTACTATTAATCTAATTTTTCCACATTTATCTATTTTGTCTTCAAAAGAAATAATAAACTTCACAAATTTTCTTTATCAGGATGGATGCACAATATTTTGGAAACAACACGTATTGAATAAGATTCACAGCTACATTATGGGATATCTTATTTATTCCTAAGAATAAATAAAAAACAGCATTAATCATATTAACTGTTTTAATCTTTATAGGTAAAGCTTTTTTCTTTATAGCTCACTTTAAGGGGGAGAAAAAAAATTTACCTTGAAGATTAAAAACTTTTATAAGCATGTTTGCTATAATCATTATGATTTCCTTCCTCCTGTTTGCATAAATAAGCTGGGTGTCTCACAAATAAAGTCAAAAGTCTTTGTTAACAACTATGGAATCAAACCTGTTTAAAACCACCCTCTTAGCTCTAAGATTTACAAAACCTCATTATCTTCGCTTAAAAAACTGATAATTAAAATTATAGCTAGAAGCACTTATTATTAGTTATTTAGAACAAAATCAGTATCAAACTTGCCATGCAATGTGGGAATAAGCCCAGGCTTGCCTTAACTGGTTTTTAACTGAATTATTAATGTTTCAATTAACGAGTACTATAGAGAACTACAGCATCGTCATCACCCTTAGTAAACAGGAAGACATGGTTACTTTTCCAGATGTCTCTGGTTTTCATGGTACCTTCATAGGCTCTTTCTCACATTTTTATTCTAAGTAACGAAACTTCAGGCATTTACTCTAACTTATAACATAGTTACATGAAGATTTTACATGTTCTTTATATAGACTGTGCACACACCTGTTGAACAGAATAAAAAATGCAGCATAAGATGTTCCTTAGATTAATATTTAGACTTCCAATCAAAAAGAGGATTAAATTTTTAGTTCACATACTTGATCAAAAAAAGATATTATGAATTTTGTATTTTCCACATAATTTACTTCAGAAAACCCTATCTTCAGATTAATGTTCTCTTTTTAAAAATATTTTGAATTCACATTTCTAAACAAACAGTATTTTTACACCTGAAGTATAATCAATTGCATTTTAGGTGTGCTATAACCATATTTAGATGAAAAAAAACCACCCACAAAAAAAATTAAGTATTTGAGAAAAATACCTGAAATTTAATAACATTTTATGCTAGTAGTTTTTGTAAACAAGCAACAAAAATAAACACACCAAAAATTTTAAATGTTTATCTTACATTCTGTGGAAGTAATGTTTAAACATCTTACTTTTCCAGAATTAATTTTTATCCTTCAATGACGACTTCCCAAAAACAGAGCAGGGTAACATTAATCATGCTGAGAGATCAATGCTTATATACCATTCTTTCTTTTAATTAAATCAAAGTCTCTTCAATATGCAATATCTGCTGTCAAGCCCTTTGTATGTAAAGCCAATACACACACACACACACACACACACACACACACGCTGATAGTAATGATATCTGGGAAGTTAAAAGTGGTGCATCCTCCTTCCCCATGAGCAACAGGAGGGCTTTGCACTCTTCTAGAACAGAGTTCTCTACCTCTAGGATGAATGGAAATGCAGCTAAAGTTTTTTTATCAACTGTACTTCTCTACACACATATGATACCTATATTAATTTCACTTGAATGCCTGTATTGCACTTAGTGAAAAAGAGCTGACACATGGGAAAACTATTATCTGAACGCTGTATATGTTAAGCACTGGGATTATAAGCACCTGGGATATTCTTGCTATTCTCTGTATGCAAATGACATTCTGCAAACAATTAAACGCTCCCATTAAAAGAGTGGGGGTGTGGGATGGAAAGAGCAAGTGTTAAGAGAGTAAAAATAAGCATGCCCTTTCTATTCCGCCCTCATTCAGCGGATGCCGAGTACCTTCGACATGCTGCACAGACCGACCCTTGGGAACGTACACAGGAATCACAATACACTCGACAACATCTCACAAGCTTTAATTGCAAAACTCTTATGATCTGACTGCGAGCCCCCTTGCCTCTCGAACATGCTTTCCATTTTTGCAAAGACGCCAGAGACATCAGGAGACCCTCCCCTGCCAAAGGGAGGGAAAATGTTCCTTCTCACCCTTCCTCACAGCCCCCAACACGTTCTTTCATTAGAAGCGGCTCCACAAGTTCCCTGGCTCTCGCCCTTAAGGAGGCAAGTTCAGCACCATGGAAAGGGCTCGAGCCACCTGCGGAGGGAGAAAGGGAGCAGAGACTTGCGCTTTCCCCCGCCACTCACCGGCGTCTGCTGAGACTGGAGTCCCGAGCGCTTGGTGGACCCCTGCTTGGAACTTAACCTTTTCCACGACTCGGCAAACCTGCCCCGGCTGGCGCTCCGGCTGCGCCTGCGGCTCTCCGCGCTGTCCTCGCGGTCCGAGCAGCCCCGCTCCATTTCCGCTGCATCCCTCCACTTCTTCCCCATGAGAAGTTCGCCTCCCTCGACCGGGAAACCACCCAGCGCCGAGCACTCTCGCCGGCTTTTCGCCGCGGGCCTCCCTCCAGCCTGCGCGCGGCTCTCGGTTGGCGCCGCCTTTGCCTCTGCCGGCTGCTGCCAGAGCCCGGCGCTCCGTTACCGCCGCCGCCACCAGGCTGCGCTTGCGCCCGCGATTGGCTCAACAGTGGGCTGGGGCTGCGAGCGCCACCTGTGCGCGAGCCAGCTTTCTTTTGCGCCCCCAAATTGCTCTCCACTCTGCAGCCGCCGCCTTCTCTGGGGAGTGCAGGGCCCACGCCTGAAGCTACTGATGCTCCGCTGGGTAGTGCTCCTGGCGGTCACCGCACTCCTCCTCAATCCCCCAGACCTGGGTACCCACCTCCCTGCACCCGAGCTGCAGGTGGGACCCTGGGTTACCTGCACTGGGTGGATGGAGACTCCAGTTGACTTAGAAAAAGACTGGAAGGGGGCAACTTTGTTCCTCCTGCTGCCTTTCTTCCCTTTCTTCCCTTTGCAACAACAACTCTCTCCTAGTATCCTTGGGGAGAACGGAGCTTCATCTCCTCATCAGACGCCGCACTTATTTCTTCTCCAGCTTGCTCCGACTGGCCCACTGGGTCTTAGACTTGGCTGCACACTGGAGTTACCTGGATCCTTTTTTCTCTTTCTCTCTCTTTTAAATGGTGATATTCCTCAGAGTTTAATTTAATTGGCCTGTCTCTGGCCTGGGAATCAGGATATTTAAAAGCTCCCAAGGTGATTCTAGCTGTGCCATCCCCATCAGCAATTAAGTGCCTTCCAGGGCCTGTTCTGTGGCGGTAGGGCAGAGGAGGACTCTTGGGAAGGGAAGGCTGATGCTTCTTTTCACATCAACTCATTTTTTCTCTCCAGGCTAGGAATGGAGTATTCACTCACCCTGGGCGGTTAAGCAGCAAGGATGACATGAGACAGATTCGTGGTGGAGCTCCTCTGTGTTGTGTATTCTGTGACCCCTGCACCTTGTTGCTCTTTCATGTTTTTGCCTTCTGCTCATTAGGACAGCTGGCAGACCCTCATCAGTTTTGTGTCACTTATTTTCCCAGACTGGGGTGTCCGCATGTTCAGGAATGCCCTTGATCAGATGAGAGAGAGCAGTTGGGGGCATCACAAATTAACAAAAACTAAAAAAATAACCATTTACTCACCATTAAAGGGAATAATGCCTAAAATTGCTCCCAGTTGAAAAGGGCCGTCTGGTTGCTTATCTGTTGCAATGGCAACAGATGTATTTTCATTTCTTTCTGAAATCAAGCATTCTCTGTCCTATTTGAATATTGCCAGGAGGCAAAGGGGAAGGGGGATTCAGAGTGAAGGGAAGAGGGTGAGAAATGCTGTAGGAAAATTGGCGTTGTGGCATTAGTTGTAAAATTCATAATCTGAGTTGCAGTGGTCAGTGTGATTAAGCAGAGGTCCTAAAACTGGCTAGTTTATGGGAATGGAAAACAGAACTCTAAAATCCCACAGCTGTGCACCGTGTGTACTGTTACATGAATATTAATCCTGCCATTTGAAGTAAAAGAGACTCACAGGGCATATATCCTATCTTTTTAAACAACCCTCTGTGTCTAGAAATCACACACCCATATTAAACAAAACAAGACTCTAAACCATGTTTGCAACACACAATGCCATTTAATGAGAAAACCACAGGCTCCATTTTGCCTTTTCTCACTCCTTATCTAAGTTCATGGATTTGAAATTATTAGTGACATTCATGGAAATACCATAATTCAGTCCAGATTCCTCCCCCTCACAAAAATAAATCAAAACGATTATGCTTAGTTTACAAAATTACACAGGTATGAAAACCAAATACCAACTAGGGGGTAGAATTTAAAAGTCAGCGTATTATTCATTGAAGAAAATATTTACTTTTTCCTTTAGTTGCTTACAAAGGGGTATATAGGTATGACTATAGAAACTCCCTAAGAGATGAAAAGCCTGTACCTTGAAAGTTCACTCTTTAGGTATAATAATAACATCCCTTGAAAGGAGCTAAGCAAGGCCTTGACAGATGTATCAAGGCACATCATCCAAGAACATTCACCATGCAGAGCCAGGAGACCCTGGTTAACCCACACCCATCCATGAAGGGGAAAATGACCCTGCCATGAAGAGTGTCTGTCATTAAAAACTGTTCTAGCACATCAGTGCATACTCAGAGCAACTGATGAGTTTTTTAGATGTACTTAGAAAAATTTAATGATGTGTAGTGACTGCATATGTCATATTTTTTTTAGCTATTTAGTCTAAAAATGAGATTTCAGTTGCCTTTATCTTAAAGCATTGTTTTTAAAGGTTTGTTTAAAGATGATCTCTGCATTTCTTTTTTGCACTTGACAAGTACCAAAAATGTCTGGGAACTGTACAAGAGGCTAAATTAGATGTGTTGTAGGCAACCAGAAAACTGACCCTTTCCTCTTCTGACATTCATTTGTCTTTCCAAAGTTCCTAATAGCCAGAAACTGGAAGACTAAAGTGAAAGTCTATCATATTTCTTAAGAAAATTAGTGGGAATGGCAGCACCAATATGCTTCTAAGAACACACTGAAAATCACCAGCAATAAAATTCTGGAATCTGGATTAGAAGGCGTTTCTAAAGCAACGTAGCTTTATTAGAGAAGGTGGATGGTGTTAATAAATTTCAAAAGGCAAATGGGAAGTAGGGCATAAACCTTTTTTCTTTGTAGTTTTTAGGCATTAAATAATGTGCAAATTAATGGGATAAGATTAAAGCAAAAAATTACTATACTGTTAAATAACAGCTATTCTTTGTAAAATGAAAAGTAAATACATAAATTTTATGTATGAATCAATCAAAATATAACATTTTGAAATAATCTGAAAAGTAAACTTTAAATAGTATTCTTTTAAAAAAAAGATCTCAACACACTGTCAAATGTCCACAGTCCTCTGTTAGCCCTAGGGACTCTTTGATCTGAAGTTTACATGGTTCTACTAGTCTGTTGATGAGTCAATAATCAGAAAAAACTCTCTTTAAACCCCATTTGCTCTAGGTCATGTAATCATGTGCTTCACTGCAGAAGAGTTTATAGGAAATATATATTCCTTTGGTTATCTCTAGGCCATGAAAACCCAAAGGTATACCGAGGGACTAACTTAACCTAGCAAAGTATGAGATGGGAAGGCAAACAGAGAAAATAATCAAAACTACAAAGTAGTGTTGATCCAAAATATCTCCTTGTGAAATAAGAGAATATAATACATATTTCAACAACTTTAACACCTTCAATTTTTCACATTTTAACCTCTCTGAAATCAGGATGCATTTTACCATAGATGGTATCTCAGCTTCAGTGTAATGCAGCATATTGATTCATAGAGTCTCAGAGTGAAATAGACATTAAGAGATCTGACTTTAAATATCCAACAAGCTACCATTTACTCTCTGCCTACACAGTCAGCCTTTGGCATTAGATCTCCTCTTTCTCATAAGCAGAGCATTTTCTTATTAAGCAGCTTTAAGGATTAGAAAGCCCATTCTTACAAACTAAGCTGAACCCCAAGCCTTCTACCTTTATTTTAAATTCTGGGGAATCACACTATTTAAACATGTGTTCCTTGTGATGATCATCAAGTATTTGAGATGGTCTTTAAAGTCCCCTAAAATTTCTCTTTTCTTAAGCTAAACAATGTGTGGTTTTCTTCTGTCAAGTCCTTACACACATCGGGGAACAAAGTAAAAGTCATCACCCTCACATAGTAAGAGAAATTTGAAAATGGTGGGTGTTCAATGAATCTGGGGCAACTGCTTTGTGAATTCACTGAAAGCTTAATCACTATGACTAGACTAACAGTGAAGTAGGATTAGTCAATACCTACAAAAGCAGGAGACAGGATGTTGAACTTGTGTTTAGTCATAACTAAATTCTCTTCTGCAGACCTTAGGGCTGAGACTCATACAAGCCAAACAAGTGTGAGAGTTGAAACAATTATTCCTGTAACTCAAGCAAAAAAAAAATCTCCCAAAGCCCATTACTATTAATCAAGAAAAGGAATAATGGGGTTATCTTGGTTTAAGTAAATTGGCCATCTATGTGGATGAAATTCTCTGGGTGATAGTTCTGGAAAAATTATCCTCTCTTTTAGGAAAAAACAATCTCATATATTCCCTGAAGCATCTGCTGACAAGTCTTCAATGGTTACAAATCCTGTCAAGCCCTCCCAGCAGAAGTCGATGCAGGCCAGAGAACCTAGCTACACAAGTGCACTCTTTTCTTTTCCTCTTCCTTCCTTTCTGTCCTCCTTCCTTCCCTCTTATTTTTCCTTCCTATTTTTCTTCCTTCCTCTCTTTCTTTCTCTCTTTTTCTCTCTTTCTCCTTTTTCTTTCCTTAACCTTTCTTTCTTCCCTCTTTGTCTTAGCATGGAACATACCAAATTCCACCAGTTAAATTCTCCAATTGTTCAGCCTTTCTATTAATATTATGATTGGTAGGAATTTTTAGTACTAACTTTCCTTTATTGTTCATTGATGCATTTGCATAAATTCACATTTATATAAAGTTTACTTCCCTTTTTAAATCTATAGGTAAATAGTTTTCTAAAATCTTATTTCCAGGTCAAGAGAGAACTATTCAATCGAATGGTATAAAATCATAAAAGTAAATGACAATAGAATCAAAAATAATATAACAGTTATAAGTAGGGAGAAAAGAGAAAAAGAATAGAAAAGGGAAGAAAGGTGTAAATTAGCTAAATATCCACCTATTACTAAATAACTTCTAAAATAAATGAATAAATAATTTATATAAAATCTCCATAAGAATGGCTCAATTTCTGCAAACAGAAAATTTAAGCAGACAGAAAAACACTAAATGTTGTCAAAGCTGTGGAGCAACTAGAACTCCCACACTCGGCTGGTGAGAGTGTAAGATGGTACAACCACTTTGGAAAACCATTTGGCACTATCTACTATAGCTGATCATATGCATACCATATGACCCAGCAATTCTACTCCAAGGTATATACTCAACAGAAATGCATGCTTATAATTAGTGAAAGACTGCAAGAATGTGTATGGCAGCACTATTTGTAAAACTCCCAACTTAGAAACTACACAAATGTTCTCAAAAGCAAAATGAATACCTTATGATATATTGAGAGAGTGGAATCTCTGCAGCGATGAGAATGAATGAATCACTATTACATGTAAAACCATGGGTGATGCAACAACAATATTGAGCAAGAGAAGATATACACAAAAGAATATATATTGTGAAATTCCATTAATATGAAGTTTGAAATTAGACAAAAACAATCTATAATAGTACAAGTCAGGACAGTGATTACCACAGGAGTGTGCATTCTATAGCCATCAGAAGACAAATGAGGAGGGCACCTAGAGTGCCAATAATGTGCTGTTTCTTCATCTGGTGGTAGTAACAAAGGTGTACTCATCTTGGAAAATGTATAGAGTAGCACAATTATAAATAATGTAATTTTTCATATATGTCTTACCTCAATAAAATGTTTATCAAGAAGGAAGAAACAAACAAACAAAAGGAGGGATGGAGAGAGGGAGGGTGAGAAAGGACCTATCTTAATGTGTTTTCTGATGCTAGTATCATTTTACATAATATTACTTTTTACATTCTTAATATAACCATGTATGTATTACACAACCATGGATATATCCTCGTATAACCATGACATTTTAAATTGCCAAGATAATTTCATGCATTACTTCTTAAAGTAGATATTATTGTCTGCCTTTTCAGGAAAGGAAACAGACTGAGCATAGTTACCTGACTCATCCAAGTTCTCCCAACTAATACCTGGAAGTTTGAGCCTTGAACCTCAGACTTTTAGCCCTCAATTCCAAGTTCTCTTTTGATTATATTACAACCATCTCTATATATTTTTATACATTTTAAATTTATATATAATATATAATTTACATAAAATTATATAATATATACTTATATGTAAATAATACAAATAAAGTCTAATCTCTGTGTTAGAAAAAAATGTTGCTTAAACCAAGAAGTAGATATTTTACATTGTTTCTTCCTAGAATTTAGAAATATCTGGGATAAATTTGAAAATATTGAATAACCTCCTCTGAGATTATAGGAAAAAGATCCCATTTGGAAAACTGCCATATAGAACTCCATTACTAAAATCCAGATGAGCTGAGACAATGGCTTTTACAGACAGAAGAAAGCCTTTTAGCTGACCTCCATTTTAACATACATGAAGAGTAAATCTCTTTTTCCCAATACTCTAAACACTAATAAAGAATCAGCTATTCTTTGCCACACAACTTTCTGGTCTTCCCATTTGAGTTATATATTTTTCAGAGGTCTACTGTGTTTCTTTCCAAGCTCATTTTCATATGTTGTATTGGTGATTATTATGTGATTTCATTAAATGTTACATACAATGATGCAAGATGAGAACAAAAGAAGATGGCATATCTGTGAAAACCAAATAAAATGTTTTGGAAAGAAAAAAAGACATTACCCCTCGATTTGTTTTACATATGCTGGTATAACATGATGTGGAAAAGAAAATTGTTTTTATAAAAAGAGTAATAGACTAGAAAAAAATACAGAAACCAGCTTCCCTCATATTCCTCTGCAGTTGTCATTGAGATATCTATTAAAAAAAAGGAAACTATAACTGTAGATCCTACATGATGGATATGGTTTATGCAAAAAGATAAACCAGAGTTCAGTTGCTAGTAACACACTCAAAGAAAAGATTTTATCCTTAGATCAGGAAATGAATATATATGATTTGTTTTAAGTTAAAATAAGATGTTTAAGCTTAACCAACTTTTGAACCAGTAGAGATGTAACTATCCCCTCGAGGAACTGATCTTAACAGTCAAATGAATTAGATACTACCTCTCTAAAAGGACCACATTTT